TGGTGGTGGTGGTGGTGGTGGTGGTGGTGGTGGTGGTGGTGGTGGTGGTGGTGGTGGTGGTGGTGGTGGTGGTGGTGAAAGACTAGTCTTCAGTTCTCTAGCGGCTATTTTATTTTCCTCTTCCCGCCTCACGACATCCTCCACCACCTCCACCTCCCACAGCCAGAAACCTACTTTTCCAATCATTTGCCCAAATTTCACTGTGTTGCAAATCGAGGAAATTCTCTGCCAGACGGAATTGGCAATCACGCGATTTCCCTCGTGTCTCGCCGCCTACTCCTCTGCCCCTTGAAGTCTCCAAGGCAATTCATGTAATCAGTCATTTGGAATGACAAAAGCCACACGGAAACCACCACAAATTGGTAACTTTTTCAGACTGGTAACTAATGTTAATCAAACAGAAAACCTTGCTACGTGCTCGGCTTCGCCATCCTAACTGACCAGCGAAAATTGTGTATTTTTTGAAGGGGTTCAATGCCTTGTTGCTGGAACTTTGGTCTTCTTTTGATCATAACCGTGGCAAAAAATCACCAGATGTAACCTTTTTCAGCTCATAAGAAGTTGGTAAAATTATTGATCTCAGAGAACCTTGTTGACAGGGCAGGTGTTTACTGGTTGGTTAAACGCCACTAGAACCAGGAAGAATACGTTAAAAGCCTTCTCGACCTTGTCCAGGCTTTATTGATTGGTGCCAAACGCGTCCATACTCCTCTTATCAACAAATTAACACCGCTTTTCACCTCATCAGATGCTCATAAATATTGTGATTTTGACCCAATCGAATCTGGCAAGCTGAAGACTAAATCGAACTTACTCCAGAGGATTCTATGCTCATTAGTCCCACGTGGGTGTACGAAAATATCGGTTCTCGTGGATGTGATTTGGCCTATCGTTAGATTGTCACTCATACGTTTTAGGGGTGATAAAAAACCGAGTGGATCGATAGTAGTAAGGTTTTGCCCTCGAAAATTAGGTTTTGAGGCATTGACTTAATTCCAATGAGCCGCAAAGTGCCCCAAGAGAATTTACCTTTGATTCCAGGTAAAATTAGACTTCATGAAGTCGATTCTGTGACACATTTTTAAACCACATAGCCAATTATGGCTTGCTCGAGTGGTCTCAACAACAATAACAACCATAATTGACTTCAGGCCCACATGGGTGTACTCGAGTGAGGTAGAGAGAGAGCAGTTTTTAAACGTAGCTGCACATCGTGTTTGGACTTGTCAAGGCTGTCTGGCATGCCGCCAGAGGTCAGGATTTCGTGTGTTCACGCTTGGTTGTGCGTGTCTCATTGCGTTGTGTAATAACGGGCTAGCTCAAGCCCCAAGAGCACAACATTTACGCTTAGACGGCCACATCACGACTTCTCTCTGTGCAAGGCAGTAGCTTCCAACCGTTGTTGGGAAAATTAGCGATATTCTGGTGAATTGGATCCGGCAAAATGGTGCATTTCAAGCCACGTTTGTTAACTTCAGAAGATTCAGGTCCCTCGTGAATGAACTGGGTATTATTGTTGTATGGGCACTTCGCTTTCGATGAATGTGGTTTCAGAAGTTTGCAGATACTCCGAATCTAAAAATCCCTGCTGATGCCTCCAAATACTCTGAGCGGTGCTATGAGAAAACCTATAAGACTAATTATTGCCTACTGTAGTGTTGCAAAGCGAGTTTCATTGCCGAAAATGTATCTATCATTCGTTGACAAAGTGAGAACTAAATCAACAGAACACGTAAATAACATTGCCAGTTTAACGAGGTGTAGGTGGTGCTTTGTGCATTAGTAATTCAACTGCCAAGCCTCCATGTGTCACTAGTTGCACTTGTTAGTGCTCTATCATGCGGCACGCCGTTTTAATGCCACGAGCTCACGGCATGACACTGAAAGCGGGAACCAGGTGCAGTCTTGATAAACGATGGGCTGGTTTGGGTGGGGGCTGTGGTACTTGGATTTCGACCAATTACGTGTGTGCTTTAATCGCTTAAATGGTGGGGCTGCGCGTTGTGGCACATTTCGCCATCAACGCAGCCACACCCATGCGTGTTTTTGCCAAACGTGGTATCTACGTTGAATGCCAGCGCAAAACGAATTGCAACACTCACCACCACCACCACCACCACCACCACCACCACCACCACCACCACCACCACCACCACCACCACC